TATGTCAGACGAAGCCCCAGAATCCTTGCCTCCAAGGAGTAGCCTGGTTTAACCCTCTCTAGGATGAATCTGTTTGTTTTCTTGGCAGTCCATGGTGTAGTGATAGAAAAAAAGGTAGATTGGGAGGTTAAGTTAGAGGAAAGGGAGTCTGGAGAATTAAGTATGGAAGAGAATATCTCAAACAGAAGTAAATAATCTTTGATAAATCCTTGATAAAATAATATATTTGTATTAAACTGTTCTGGTTGCTGTGGCACTGCTTCTAGACTTTGGAATAGAATTTTTTGCAATGTAGATAATAAGAGTGAACCACAGCCTGACATCATTTTGAGTCAGTAGTATGGTCAGTCAGCCACTTAAGTACTATTTATGATTTGGTCCAGGTTATTTGGTTCTTTTTTACATAATTAAGTTATGTTGAGGGCCTTTGTTTCTTTTTATTTTTTTTTTGTTTTTATTTCCTTTTATTTTTAAGAACTTCCACGGTAGAAAGCTTCTTTATAAACATAGTTTCATTAATGTAAATGTATCTTCTACAGCTCATTTCTCTTTTATTTATTATTCCTTGGAAGTTTTTGGTTGGTTTGTTTATATTGTCATACTAATGTTGTCTGTTAATTTCTTCCCTACAGCATGGATTTGTGGTATCATTTCTATCACTGTCATTAGCCTGCTTTCCTTGCTAGGCGTGATCTTGGTTCCCATCATTAACCAGGGATGCTTCAAATTCCTTCTCACATTCCTTGTTGCACTAGCTGTAGGAACAATGAGTGGAGATGCCCTTCTTCATCTACTGCCCCATGTAAGAAATCTTTTTAATCTTTAAAAAAGTGAAAATTAAAAGTATTAAGGTAAAAAGAGGTTCTTCATTAGCAAACTGTAACATACAATCTAGTACTTGTATTTATCCACAGGATGAACTAGGGGTTTCCCCCCCATTTTCAGTTTGAATAACAATATTTCTTAATCAGTTGAATCATTGGGTTCTTGAATAGTTTGAAAGATTGGTTATGATGCACTAGTATTTAATAATAATCATTCTATAAAATTTACAGTGTAGTTCTAAAAATGAACAGTAAAAGTCAGTGACTAGAGTATCTCCTTTTTTTTGATCCATCAAGAAAGTCTTTAGAAGAAATGTATAAGAACTCTTGTAATAGCCAGTATGTCACATATGTTCTTTTCTGAGCAAGGATATGCAAGATACACATTCAGCCCTCTTTGTCCTCAGAATTCTCTATTCATGGATTTAGCCAATTGCAGACTGAACATACTGAAAATAATAATGCTAATAATAAAGCAGATAAGTAGTCAGAGCAATCACTTAGTGGCTAAGACGGAACATAAAGTCATAGCCTTTACTAACATTATTGAGTGTAGCTAGTAGTGAGGAATTGTGCTGCCAGCCCAAAGGCACACAGTTCGGATCTGCCAGCCACTCCATGGGAGAAAGATGTACAATCTCATCCCTTGTCACCTGCCTCTGAAAACCTGCTGGAGGGTCAGCTATGAATGAGTTGGTTCCTACTCAGTGGTATATAACTTCAACAGTAGCTTAACAGTGTTATGTATGGTAAGTAATGTAGAGATGATTATAAAGTGTGCTGGAAAATGGACACTGATTATATGCAAATACTGTGCTATTTTATATGAAGTACTAAGCTTACAAAGATTTTAGTACCTGAGGGGTCCTGGAACCCTCCCTCACAGAGACCACTCTGAACCATTGCAGACTTCAGCTCTCTTTACTTGGAAACATTCTCTTTTCCCTCGCATACTGTGTTTCCCCTTGGGGAGACTTCTAATGACAGGATCACAAGCCTGTAATCCAAGGGTGATACACGTGAACCTTTTCAAACCTATTTCTAACAGCTAAGAATATTTGATGCAGTTTACTATTTTTGCATTGAGAGAACAGGACTGGTTTTCTTCCCAAATCTAAAATGTCAGTATTAAATATTTTAAATATTACTTCCTTCCATCCTTGTGGAATTTGAGAAGCAAGATTGTATTTGTGTGCTGTATGTATCTTGTATAAAACAATATGTATGACATTGCCTTTTAAAAAATGAATTACTTAATGGATTTTAAGCCCACAAATAGTATGTTTTACTCATTTTCCTACTCTTTTCCCTTTTTACCACTCATCAGGAACAGGAATAGTCTCTTTAGGAACCAGGCCTGATGGAAGCATTTGAAATGGGAACAGGGTTTAAATGCTGTTTGAATTATGTTTACTTAAGAAGGGTTCATTTAATAAGCCTTTAAATCTTCAACTCCTTCTTACCATGTCTGAGAAATTTAGATACTGCTTATGTTGCACACTACTGATGGGAACAAACTCAAGTAAATCTTGCAAAGAAGGAAGATGAATATTTGAAACTTTAATGTTTACAATGTAAAAAACAATATTTGCATATATTTTTGTTAAAGCATTAAAATGTAGAAAATTACATACATATGTAAATGTATACTTTTAACTGCCTATAGCAGATGGAGAAGTAGTGTCTCATCACACCACCTTAAAATAATTTATAAAAAGAAAAAGAAAATGTCCAGCATGAATTCCAGGGAGGCACAAATGATAATCTTCTACTGTTTTATTTTTATTAAGTCTTAAGGCATTTAAGTGTTGACTGCTTGTTCCAATTTACAAAACCTGTCACTCTCTAGTATGAATTTTAGCTGCATAAGCATTTGAGTTTGTGGTCTTTGTGTTACAGTTTTTAAGGAATATAAGGCCTGAGTAACACAATGAAATGGAAAACTGTTAAATATGACACTATTTAAGGACTTTAAGAAGATACTGTCATTAAGAAATGAAAAAGGTGTTTTTGTTAATACTCCAGGGGATTATAATCTCAAATTTTAAAATATAGTTTAAACTATTTTCTTTCTATGCTTGATAGTCTCAGGGTGGACATGATCACAGTCATCAGCATGCACATGGGCATGGACATTCTCATGGGCATGAACCGAAGAAGTTTTTGGAAGAATATGATGCTGTTTTGAAAGGACTCGTGGCCCTAGGAGGCATTTACTTGCTGTTTATCATTGAGCACTGTATTAGAATGTTTAAGCACTACAAACAGCAAAGGGTAAGTGTGCCTTTGATTACTTACTTCATTTTCTAAAATATAAAGTCCAAAACAGGAGCCATCTCTTTCTGGCCATACGCCTTTCTTCATTATGGTGTTAATATGTATTAATCTCCTCTTTCATAGTCATCCTTAGAGCCAAAACTTATTCTTGATCTTTGTCATTGTCTATTACTTCAGTTAGTTTAACATTTATAATCAAAATATAGCAATGTCAGTTTCAATTTATTGGTGTTACATCTCACTTAATTTAGTTAAGTAAGCTGGAAAAACTATTGACCAATTTAAGCCTGTTACAGATGTAAAAATGTATAAACAGGCATGTCTCATCATTCTTCTTAGGTAAGGTTTTAACTGTAAATGACTTTTTTTATCATATCTTTTAGTGAAAATGGTTTTAATACAACACATGTCTTTTTTAGACACTGTAGAAGTAAGAAGTTACATGAAGAGAGTTTTAAAGAGAGTATAATGATGGGTTTTGAGTGACTAACCACCATGTTAAGAAGTTGCATTGCAATTCTGAAGTTTAAATCCACTAGCTGCTCTATATGAGAAATTTCCCATGCGATTAAGCTGCCTCAGCAAACCTGCTGGAGGGTCAGCTATGGGTCAGTTTTGACTCAGTGGTATGCAACCACCACCACCGCCATTTGGGAGGTGGTACTTGGATTATTAGGTACCTTAATATTATGCAAAAGTCTGTGTTTTAAATTTTACTTAACATGTGGCTGCTCAATTTTAAATTGACAACCATGCTTTTTTCGATATATTACCGTCATTTGCGGCAAGGTGTTAAAAAATTCACCCCTCAAGTAAATTTAAAACATAGTCATCCACTGTTCCCTGTTCACATCTATCTCTAAAGCTATCTTTACTACATCCCAGTAACATATTTATGAAGTTTATGACTCCAAGGGAAGATTAAATTTCTTGAGTAGGTCATGTTTAACAGAAAATCTGTTATGTTGTTATTGTTATGTGCCATCGAGTCGCTTGCTACTCATAGCGACCCTATGTACAAGAGCTCTAAATGCTGTTCTATCCTGTGCCAACCTAGCCATCTCAAACGCACTTATTCCCACCGCTCCAGTCACAGAATCGATCCATCTCACCAAAGGTCTTCCTCTCCTTCGCTTCCCCTCCACTCTGCCAAACATGATGTCCCTTTCCAAGGACCAGTCCCTCCTTGCAACATGCCCAAAATATGTCAGACGAAGCTTCAGAATCCTTGACTCCAGGGAACACTCTGGCTTCACCCTCTCCAGGACAAACCTGTTTGTTCTCCTAGCAGTCCATGGTATATTCAACACTCTTCTCCAGCACCACAGCTCAAAGGCATCAATCCTCTTTCTGTCAGCACTATTCACTGTCCAACTCTCTGATGCATAGCACATAACTGCGAAGACTATAGCCCGGATCAGGCGCACCTTAGTTTCCAGCCTGACATCGTTGCTCTTCAGTACTCTTGAGAGGTCCCTCACAGCCGACTTTCCCAATGCAATTCGTCTCCTGATTTCCTGGCTGCTGTTACCAAGAGCGTTGACTGTGGAGCCAAGTAAATTAAAACTGTTAACTATCTCAATCTCCTCACCATCCATGCTGATGCTGCCAATTGGACCAGTGATTAGAATCTTTGTTTTCTTGACATTTAGCTTCAGCCCATATAGGAGGCTGTAGTCCTTGATCTTCTGCAGCAAGTGCCTCAGGTCCTCCTCAGTTTCAGCAAGCAGGGTTGTGTCATCTGCATAACGCAGGTTGTTGATGATTCTTCCAGCAATCCTGATTCCACATTCCAACTTTTAAGTAATTTTCGGTAACATTGGTCATATAAAACATTCTTAACATGTTGTTAAATTCTATCTCTCCTTGCCCTTAGTAAGAATACTAATTAGTTATGACTAACAATTCATGCAGACTAAACTTAAGACACCTACTACTTTACAAATACATAGTCCGTTTGTCTCTGTGTATCTTTTGTGCTTCCATGTGGAAAAAGTGAGTTTGGAATGCAGCCCTGAATGGAGATTTAGCAGTATGATGCCAGTCAGTTTTTGCTCAGCTGTAAACTAGCTTTGTAACTGTGATACATTCTTCATGATTTCCCGTTGCTGTCTATATCTTAGATAATATTTCTTAATTTCTATCTGTGCTTTCATTTAATAATTTGAGAATATATTATTTAGCTACCATAAGTTAATCAGGACATCATCATAATTGATTCCCTTCAGAGAAAGGATATTATCAACATAATGAGCCTTGTGAAATATTACCTGAGGATTAATAAAATGAATTGAGAAGGCTCAACTCAGAGAAAAGTGAAAGATACAGTAACATTTGCTTGTGAAGGGTATTATGGATGGGGGGAAAACACACACATACACACACACACACATGAACCCACCAGATTAACTCGATCTTCCACACAACCCTTTAAAAAACAAATGCAGTACGGAATGAGGGTTGCAGAGTGGATTATATTTGGGGTTGGGGGATGTGCGGGGGATTGTGTACCAATGAGGGAGTTTTTCTTTTGCTTTTCAAGGAGAGGAGCAAACGGGGGGGGGGGGGGGTTGGGGGGAGGGGGCATTATGTTTCTCTCCAAAGAATAGCCCCTCCTAGGAACATTGTTGTTGTTGTTGTTATGTGCCATCAAGTCACCTGCGACTCATAACAACCCTATGTACAAGAAGGGGAGAAGGGTGCAACAATGAATGAATGGAATTCCAAAATCTCTGTAGATGTTCATTGAAATGAAAAATAACTCTTGCAAAAAAAACAAAAAACAAAAAAACAACAAATGCTCCTACATCTGTTCCTTTTCTCTGAGTTGAGCCTTCTCACTTCATTTTGTCCGTCCTCAGGTAATACTTCACAAGGCCCCCTGTAGATGTCTATACAGTGAGAAGGATTAAGGCAGGAGGGCCAGGAGGGAGAGCAGATTTTGTTAAGGAGGCTGCTGTAGAACAGTTCAGAAGAGAGGCGGAAAGCAGTTTCAACGAGGGTTATGGCCAAAGGATTAATAGAGGGTAATTACTAGAATTGTTTAGATGAGACAGTTAACAAGAGTATTTGATTAAATGTAAGAAAATAAATAATTAAGAGTCCGTTTCTGTGAATACCTAATTTTGAGCAAAATATATTATTCCAAAATATGTGAAGAAGTTTTGGAAATACTCTGAACCCTTAATGTTTCTTCTGTCAAGTTGACTGAGTACCGTAACAGCAGTAAATATTAACTACATAATATCGTTAAAACTTAAGAAACTATATAATTTTCAAATAAGTACAAATGTTCTTATTTCAAGCAATAGTTTAATATTTTTGACTTTTTATAAATTAACTCTTTGATCTCATTTGAATTCACGTTTCCTGATGAAGTTAAACACATTTATTTTTTTAGTAAAATACACTGATTCAGGAGAATGGAGTCTCTAGAACTTGACATCTTTTTTGGTAAATTTTGAATTTGTGGCAGGTAAAAAAAAACAGAAACACAAAAAGGAATCTGACCCAGATAACTCAGTCTGACCCAGGTAAATTCTTTATGTTGAATGCAACAGTAAGTAAGCTAAGAATATCACATTTATTCAAGGGAAGGAATTAATGGTCCTTAAATAGCAGAAACATTCTGACAGTCACTGTTTCAGCAACTTGGGGATGTGGAAATAATGATTTTTTTAAAGTGTTTAGGAACGTGAACAGGGAGAACCAAAGTAAGTGAGCCAAAGTCTAGCTGGTACTGAGTGTTCTTCCTTAATTCTAAATTCTTCTCACTGACTATGTGCTGTTTCTGCCTCTTGCCTTTCTCTCCTCCCCACTCCCCTCTTTAGCTCATGACTTACTTTTTCTTTTCAGACATTTCCCTATTTGTATTTTGAATACTTTTTATTTCCCCAGTTTCTGTTATCTTTTGCTGTGAAGCAAGCAACCCAAACAAAACATAATGATTTACAAATAGGTTTTCTTTCCCACAATACTTTGTCAAGAACTTAGGCAAGATTCCGCTGGGCAGTTCTGCTGTACATGGCATCTGTTAAAAGCTCTTAATTCTGCTGCATTCACATGTAGCTGGCTGCTGGCCTGGGCTGGACAGTCTGATTCTCTGCTCTTCCACATGGCCTTTTTCAGAGTCTAGAGTGGGTTTCATTATACTTGGTGAATGACCTCCCTGAGCAAGAACAAAAGCTTCCTGGACTTTTAGAACAGTTAAGAACTGACGCTCCATCATTTCTGCTGCATTCTTTTGGTGAAAGCAACTAAAAATCTAGCCAAAATTCAAGGACAGGGAATAGACCCACATTCTGGTTGAACTCTACAGCATATTACTATGAGGAGTGAAGGAATTGATGGTGACCGTCTTTGGAAAAAAACCTTACCACACACGCAGCTGGCTGTAATGAGCTTAATTATGTTTTAGTTGTTGTGTGCTGTCCAGTTAGAACCGACTCATAGCTGACCCTCCAGCTGGTTTTTAGGGGCAGTAAATTGCATGGGAGGAGATTATCCATCTTTCTCACATCGAGTAGCTGGTGGATTTGAACTGTGTGCTTTGGGATTACGGCAGAGCTTCTTGCTACCAGGCCACAAGAGCTCTTTCTGTAGCTCCCTGTATAGCAGTTAGAAAACCTAAATACCTGAAATTGTTCATAGCCTGTGAGAAAAACAATTAATAAGATGTCGCACCAGTCAGTAAACATTTCCTAGAAACACGGACTTTTTACTTTGCACCATTCTAGCTTTCTTGGTTAATTGCTTTCTTAAATTGACATATATTAGAAACAGAACCTAAAATTGGAAGGTTTAGAAGATGTAGCTGTTACCATATTCAACACAGATACACATATAGTTTATACTCCCCAGATCTTGGCACCAGAGTGTTACCATGTGGTAAGAGCCCTGGCTTCGGTGAGTGTCCTTGCCTGGACAAAGAATTGAGCCAAGTGGGGGATAATAGGAAGGTTGTCACTGCCATGGAAGCAACAGGGAGTGGACAGCAATCGTAGTGGCTCTCAAAAGAGCTGATGCTCAGCAGTCTAGCCTGGACACTCAGTGGTTAAGACCCTGGAGCCTTTAATAACTGCTAAGCTTAGGGATGTCCAACTTGTTGAGAAGGCAGGCAAGGAGACTGAATGGAAGTGAAAGTGCAAGTAGTGTATTAGCTAGAGAAAGGAAAGTGTGTTCCTAAGAGAGGAACACATTCCTGTCCTGAAGGAAAGAAGTGGAGAGGACAAAGGGTTATGAGGGGTTAGATGCTGATAGCCTTCCTGGGGCGAGTTTTATGCAGTGCAGGTGCAGAGCAGTATTTGGTCTGAAGGAATGATGCTGCTGGGGGCTCCCATTCCTCTGCTGAATGACTTCAGTGATTGTGTGTTATGTCTCCACTCACCTGCTTGTAAATTAGGTTACTTTGAAGGTAATTTTTACTGCGCATGTCAGCTTTCTGAGGCATTAACATCTTCCTTTTAAGGTAATGTGCAAGTATAGGCTCTTAGTGGTCTGGATTTTGCTTTATATGGGTCAGGCTGTGTTCTAATAGCTTGTTTGGCCAGGTCCAGCTGAAACTGCAAGGCACTTTATGATTTTAACTTTACTTTTAACTCTACTGCCCTGTACTTTTGCCCTAAATTATTTAACAGTGTTTTAACTCCTAACAGTACTCTGACAAAAAGAAGTAGTAAAGTGGAGAGAGAAAATTTAAACCTAAACAGTGAAGCACAGTAATTGCTATTTACTAGTAATTGAAGACAGGTTAAATTATGTTCACTTATTAAGAAATGATAAAAGAGAAAACCTGACCTGCTGGGAAGTTGTTAAGGGTCAATTACAGGGCTTGGCCATTTTTTTTTTTTTTTAATTTTTTTATTACTGTTTTTTGTGCATGTACCGTCAAATCAGATCTGACTGGTACAGGAGGAAATTGTCCCTCCTTCTCCGGCAGAGCATCTGGTGGATTTGAACCGTGTACCTCTGGGATTGCAGTAAGGGCTTGGCCATTTTCATGCCCACCTTATTTAATCCTTGTAAGAATTTCTCATTTTAATTTGTCGGATGAATGTTCGTTCTAATGTTTAATAAAATTAACAAGCTTGCCCAAGTATCGAGTATAAGCTGTGTGAGATTCTAACCCATTTTTACACTACTGTGTGTCATATTTAGGGAAATGTAAAACTGTATTATAAAAAGAATGACATTCTTAAAAAACAAGTTGTGGTTTTTGAAATGTCTTTCCTTACAGTTATTAATATATCACATGTATTTCACGTTTTTTTATTAGAATAACTATAATGCAGGACTTCAAACTGGTTCTTTTCCAAATTTCTGAAGTGTAGGTGTACCAGAATGTCAGTTGGAGAGGGGGAAATGTCAGGCAAAAGATCTTGAATATAAAACCAACAAGAAGGTTCGTAACCCCTTTCCTGATCCTTTTGCAAGAGATCAGATTATTGCCAGGACTCTCAGAGCAGAACATGTTTGAAGCAGCTTGTTCAGCTGCCATTTTCAAGCAGGGACCGTTTGCAAGCAGGGGAATTGTTTTACATTGTTGATCAGAGACTTGGTTGCGTAGCTGCATGAGTGCTGCTCTTATTTTCTAGAATGGAGATTACATTTCCAGTAAGGTGTCAACTCGTCATTTTTTCCCATTCCATTTCACCTACATTTTACACAGTCGGCTCTATTCTGTTTGTAAGTGTGGTTTGACTTAGCTGAGAAGAGCCAGTCCCAAGGCCTGATAAAATATTACAGTGCCAGGTACCCTATTACTGCAGTCTATTGCAGTCAGGAAATCAAAAAGTGTATCGCAATGGGAAAGTCTGCTGTTAGGGACCTCTCTAAAGTACTCAGGAACAACGGTGTCTCTCTGGAGACTAAGGTGCGCCTGATACAGGCCATGGTATTTGCAATCGCTTGTTATGCATCAGAGAGTTGGACAATGACTAGGGAGGACAGAAGGAGAGTGGATGCTTTTGAGCTGTGGTGCTGGAGAAGAGTACTGAATGTACCATGGACTGCCAGGAAAACAAACAGATTCATCTTGGAGAGGATTAAACCAAGCTACTCCTTGGAGGCAAGGATTCTGGGGCTTCGTCTGACATACTTTGGACATGTTGCCAGGAGGGACGGGTCCTTGGAGAGGGACATCATGCTTGGGAGGGTGGAGGGGACAGCGCAGGACGGGAAGACCCTCTATGAGATGGATTGATTCGGTGACTGGGGTAATCGGGATGGGTGTGTCAGAGGCAGTGCGGTTGGCACAGGATAGAGCAGGGTTTAGGGCTGTTGTGCATAGGGTCACTATGAGTCGAAAACGACTCAACGGCACATAACAACAACAACAACAACATTGAATCTTTTGGTTAAGCATCACCAAAACCCAAAGAAAACTCATACAAATTTAGTTGCACTTTAATCTGGTTTGATCCCTTGATTAATGTCTAAAAAATTTTTCACCCTCTTTTTACCTAACTTAACACTACTTGTCCCTGTTGATGTTATTAAAATTTGTTAATTATGGCTACAGATTTGATACTAATGTCGGATATTTATTTCAGGGAAAACAGAAATGGTTTATGAAGCAGAACACAGAAGAATCAACTATTGGAAGAAAGCTTTCAGACCATAAACTAAATAATACACCAGACACTGACTGGCTTCAGCTCAAGCCTCTTGCCGGTAGACATTTATGACTAAAACCAAACTTCTAAAACATAGTAATAAAAATATTACCTCCAGAATGTGCCTGGGTTGTTAGAAATTGCTTGTGTTAGTGGCTTCCCTAACTATGCTGTCTAATTTATATTGCATTATCATGACTTTCTCTCAGTTGTAATTTTATTCATTAATAGTAATTTTATTAATTCCAGCATTATTGTTGGAATGCAGAACCAAATAATTCTAGATAAGGAAATACTTTACACTACTGTGTTACAGGAAAAATAAAAGGGATGAATTTTTTAAAAAAAGGATAAGTGATGCATTAGTATTCGCTTTATTACTTCAGACTTCATCATCTCTTACATATAATGACTAATTACATATGGAAAAAGGAAAATCACCCTTATTTTACTCTATTCTTAAAATCTCTGCCCATCTGCCTATTTTGTTGCCTGAATGGTATCATGAAGTCACTTAAAAGTTTCATGAAAACATGGAAAGTTTTTCAGCTCCTTCTGTTTGAACATTTATTTCCCCTCAGGATGCCAATATTTTTCTGGAGAAAAGGGGAAGTCTAGTCTCTGTGCAACTCTGACCCCAAAATATAGTTTGGAAAATACTGTCATCTTTGCCATATAATGAATAACTTTGTAATATTTTTTAAAAAATTATGTGAGAGAGCAAGCACCCTTAGGGATTTTTGTTTTGCTTTTAAATGAATATACTCTTATTATTTAAGGATTTCTGAACTATTGTAGAATCTATTTAGTGTTGAGGCATGTGTGAAACTCTGCCCTTACATTGCTCTATGATGTTGAATGAATCCTTTAAATACTATGTGCCTTTGTTTTCTGAAATAATAGGAGGTTAGAATGGATAAACTATAAGGCTCCCTTCTTTCTCTGAATAATGAGTTTTATTTTGCTATCCTGTAAATTCTATAGTAACTTTCCCCTTTTTCATTTCATCACCTGTTGATGATCTACTCCTTAAGTTTTCTAATACCTTCGTGCTTTTAATGTTTTTGCTCAGTTTGTGTGCTTTGGGGGTCATTTACCTCATTTGAGCAGCATTTGGCTCTCAGAAACTTGTTTTGTCGATAGATGTTTGCTTCTTTTTTTAATGAATGTCAGACAACATTGCTGTATATTAATGGCTTCAAATTAATTTGAGGGGAAATATATTGAGAGTTTTAAAAGACATTGGCCTAAGATGACACTGATGTTCTGCTGGGGTTAAATTAACAAACGTGGGCATGCATTTATTGTTGATCAAGCATATCCTTTGCTACAAATACAGGAACAGATGACTCGGTTGTCTCTGAAGATCGACTTAATGAAACTGAACTGACAGATTTAGAAGGGCAGCAGGAATCCCCTCCTAAAAATTACCTTTGTGTTGAAGAGGAGAAAATCATGGACCATTCTCACAGGGATGGCTTGCATGCTCTTCATGAGCATGATCTCCATGCGGCTGCACATAACCACCACGAGGAGAGTCAAACGGTGCTGAGGAAGCATAACCATCAGTGGCACCACAAGCATTCTCATCATTCCCATGGTCCCTGTCACTCTGGCTCAGATCTGAAGGAGACAGGAATAGCGAATATAGCTTGGATGGTCATCATGGGCGATGGCATCCACAACTTCAGTGATGGGTTAGCTATTGGTAAGTTAGTACCTATCAGGAATCATTTGTTCTTTAAGATGGTTTTTCTTTTTAGACTGTACGTTAATCTTATGACTTAATATAAAAGATTAAAAGTGGTTGGAGCTTAACTCTGCTTTCATATAGCATTCCTGTTTTGTTGGTATCTCCAAAGGCTATGCTGAACAAGTTTAGAGATTTATTTGGGGTGTGAAGATTTGTGAAGTGTATTTTTTAAAATGGCTGTATTTTCTTTTTTAATAATTTGATTTTTTACCCAAAGTGCAATGCAACCATAGTGAAAGAACTGCCTTAAAATGTGAATTGTGTATCTGTAAGAACAGTTAAATTTTAATTTTGGATTTAATTTTATCCATTTTTGAAATATGAAAAATTCTGTTGTGTTAAGAATTCATTATATCCACTCAGGCCCTTCCCAATAAAAGAGTGCACAGCCTGAAATGAAAAAAAAAAAAGAATTCATTATATCACATTAATATGTATTTTATTAGAGTTGTGCTAATGTAAACTTTTATTACTAGTTTAAGAGAACATTAAATGGATTAGTAAATTATTTTATCTGAGATCCTGACTATATATTCTAAGTGATCTTTAATTTCTTTCTGAGAATAAAGAACACATTTCTTAATCCATAGTGCCTATCAGTACTAAAGAATAGACCACTAGTAGTTGAATCTGATTCCATTTTCTGTTTTCTCCTTTTATAAGTTTCATCTGATTTATAACATTTTTATAATATTTATGTTTTAGAGCCAAAGTTTGTAGAAAATTCTAGCTACTTTAATACCTACAGATATAAGTATTGAAGGTGGAGCAAAATCATAGTTAGAAGACTTGAAACTGAGCATTGAAAACTGTTACTACCTCCAAGCTACTAGTGAGTCTACAGGCTACACAAATAGAGATATTAATAATCAATAGAGGTGTAGTATAGTAGTTCTTTCACTGATTGTCATACACCTGTTGTACCTTGTTGTGTGTTTAAAAATGGTAGTGTATAGTAAGATAAGCAAATCATAGATATATTACAAAATTTATGTATGTATATGAAAGAGCCTGAATTTGTAATCTTTCATAAAAAAGGAAAGAAAACCAGGACAAACCCAGTAAATTGCACTTTTTTCCCCCCCTAGGAGCCGCGTTCAGTGCCGGACTGACAGGGGGCATCAGTACTTCCATCGCTGTTTTCTGTCATGAACTCCCACATGAATTAGGTAAAAGAACTTGGAAACGTTTTCACTGCACTGTGAGACTTCTTCAGTTATAAAATGCATCTGAATTTTAGAGATTATAAACAAAAAAAAAATGACTCATGGCAGGTGTAAAGTGGTATAATTATAAGACACACCCTAATACGAAACCAAGTCATCATTTCTTTTAACTATATTAGTAATAGACTTGACTAATAACTTACACAAAACCTTCTTACATTCCTCCCCAACTACCCACCCATTAGCACCATAAATTTTGAGACTATCAGGCCCCTTTGTTGTTGAGTATGGTTTGAATTACTCTGTTCCCCAAGGGTCCCTCCTCTTAATCACAGGATTGAAAGCAGTAAGTTTTGGCAATTATGAATGTTTCCTTTCTGTACTCCTAATTTCTCTGTAGTTTCTGATTACGGAAGTGCCAGATAAGGAATAACAACTGCATGTAGAACAAATGAAGTATTAATGTTTAGGTAAGTCATTGTTATCTTAAACAGAGTGCTGATAACAGCCACATTGGGGAATTCTCCTTAGGCCTAGATCCTTTAGTGAGACGTTCAGACCCAAAATGTCTACCTGTTTTAACCCCTACACCAGAAGTTGCAGTGTTACTATCTCTGTAAGAGGAGAAAAACCTCTAGAGTACGTTGACCTTTGCCAGAGGAAGATACACTCAATGAAAATAAGTATTTTCTGCTTGTGCCGATTGCTAAATGAACATAAGCTGCCACATACTGCTAGGCTACAGTATTTTGCTAGGTGGGGAAAGACAGACCATAAATAAGTGGCCTGGCTCCCTTGCCTTAAAGTGACTTAAAGGACTTTGGCTCTTTTTGGTCCACTGACATAACAAGAGATTGAGGAACCTAGTTTTTGTCTTTGTTGTTGTTGTGTACCGTTGAGTCAGAATCCCATAGCTGACTCTCCAGCAGGGTTTCAGAGGTAGTTAACTTGCACAGGAGGAAATTGCCCATCCTTCTCCCAGTTTTTATTTTGAAGGCACCAAGTTGGAACCAATTCTTAGCTTCTCTCAGGCGGGTTTGCAGAGGCCCACAGAGCTGCCTGAACGCCCATAAAAGTCACCCTATGGGACACTCTTCTGGAACAGGCTTGGGTAAACACCCTAGTTCTAAGCAGATAATGCATTCTAACTCGGAGAGGAACATATTGTAGGGGGAGACAGAGACATTCTTCCCTCTGGTTTCCAAGCATGGCATAGCCTGCCCTGTCTCTTACAAGAGTGGATGGGAAAGTAGAGTGTGAGAATAGGAGGGAGCAGCCCCCTCGTCCTCTAAAAGGTGAAAGTTGGAAAGGTAGCATAACACACTGCATTCAAGGTAATTTTTTTTAATTGAAAATTATTTTGCCCTTCCTACGTGTTTGGCTGTAATTGTGTAAAACTCTCTGTAGCTTCTGTGCTACAGAATGTCCTGAGGAGGAAGGGCGTGTTTAAAATGCCGTGGCAGTGTTCTGGCGACTGCTCTCTCCCTCCGCACTTCCAAATGCCGGGGGCCTCCTGTGGACAGCTTGCCATGTCCCTAATAGTGTACCCTGGGGGATTTTAGCAATATGGTCCAAGAAACGTGCCATATTTGAACTGCAGACCACATGCAGCTCAGGGAGCCTGACTGAGCGCATGCAGGAGCTGAAGCCATCGGAGGAAATGGCAAATCCACATTTTATTTCATATGCACTCTTGGGTAGGATAATGGATGCAGTCGCCTAAATTATTAAAGTCATTATTGTCTGGGTTCTTTGTTATGGGAATTTGTTTTTATTCCCTTCCCCCAAATGTGTAGCTGCATTCATGTTAACTTACAGTTTCATTTCATTATATTCTTTCCACATTTCTTCACCTTCTCTCAGTGTTGTTAGGTGCCGTCAAGTTAAGTGCCACCTTTGTGACCCAGTGAACATCAGATGTGAACTCTGTCCTGTCCTAGGCCATCCTCATAGTCTCTGACATGGGAGCCTGTTGTTGTAGTCATTGTATAAATCTGTCTGCTCAAGGCTCTTCCTCTTTTTTCCCCCCGCCCTCTACCTTTCCAAGCTTGGTGTCCCTCTCCAAGGAATATCCTCCTAGCAACGTGCTCAAAGAATGTGAGGCAAAGCTTTGTCATATTTGCATTCAAGGAGCACTCTGGCTGCACTTTTTCTAAGACATCTGTTTGTTCTTTTGGAAGTCCAAGGGACATTCAGTACTCTTTTCTATCAACACAGCTCAAAGGCATCAATTCTTCTGTCATCTTTAGTCATTGTCAAGCTCTCAGATGCATAGTAAGTGATTGAAAAGGCCATGACCTGAATCAGGTATGTCTTAGGTTTAGAACTGTTATCATTGCTCCTCAAGAATTTGGAGAGGTCCCTGACTGTAGACTCCCAGTGTAATACGTCTCCTGATTTCCTGACTGCTGATAGCAGGGGTGCTAATTGATGCTCTAAGTAAGATGAAGTCATATCATTATTTCAGTCTTTTCCTCTATCTTTACGATGTTGCCTATTGGGTCAATAGAATTTTTGTTCTTTTGATGTTGAGATGTAATCTCTTTTGAAGGCTGTGTAGCCCTTGTTCCTCTGCAGCAGGAGTTTCAAGTCCTCACTTTCAGCAAGCAAGGTTGTGTCATTTGCATAATAGAGGTTGTTGATTAGTCTTCCTTCGATCCTGGCACCACATTCTTCATAGAGTCCCTGTTCTGAAATTATTTGCTCAGCGTACAGATTGAATAGATACGGTGAGAGAATACAACCCTGACATACCTTTCTTCATTTTAAACCATCTAAGTGTTCTCTCATTCTGTTGTCACTACAGCCTCCTGTTCTAGGTGTAGATTCCGCATCGGCACAAGTAAGTGTCCTGGGTTTTCCATGCTTCTCTGTCTTAGCCACCGTTTATTGTCCACGAAGTCAAATGCCTTTATTTAGTTGATAAAACACAAATAGACATTTTTCTGGTATTCTCTGCTTTCGACTGAATCCATCTGGTATCAGCAATAGTGCCCCTGGTGCCACAGCTGCTTCTTAACTGAGCTTGACTTTCTAGCAGTTCTCTGTGTACTGGTCTAGTAATTTTTGAATGATCTTCAGCAGTACTTTGTTTACATGTGGTATTAGTCTTGTTGTTCAATAATTTCCACATTCTGTTGGATCACCTTTTTGGGGAATGGGAACAAATAACAGATCTCCTCCAAATTTGCTGGCATAGATTGGTGAACATGTCCGGGGCTACATCTGTTAGTTGAAAATCGATACCCCACCAGTTCCTCAGGCCTTATTTTTTTTGCCAGTGCCTTGAGTGCAGCTTACACTGCTTCCTTCATCACCATTAGCTCTTCATCTTGTGATACTTCTTGAAATATTTCAGTGTTGGCCAATTCTTTTTGGTACTGTGATTCTGGGTATTCTCTCCATCTTCTTTTGATGCTTCTTGAACTATTCAAGATTTTGCATCTCTCAGCATCCAGCTCAAGGCTTGAATGTGTTTTTGAGTTGTTTCAGCTTGAGAAATGCCAAGCAAGTTCTTCCCTTTTTAGTTTTCAGTTCCAGCTCTCTGCACATTCTATTTTAATACAGTGCTTTATCTTCAACAACTGCCCTTTGAAATCTTCTGTTCAGCTCTTCTTACTTCAGCATTTCTTCCCTTTGTTTTGGCTTCTCAGTGCTCTAGAACAATTTCCAGAGTCTCTGATATACGTTTTGGGTCTTCCTTTCTCCTGTCTTTGGGAATGACCTTGTCCTCATCATGTCATCTCCCTGCTCATCTGCTCTTCAGTAATTGGTATTCAGTGCTTCAAGCTTATTCTTGAGATGATTTTAACTGCAGGTTAGATAGACTCAAGATCATATTTTGGGTCTTTTGGAGTTGTGTTTGTTTTATTCTGCTTCATTTTGGACTTTTGTATGAATAGTTGATGATCGGGTTCATAGTCAGTAGCTAGAGTGGCTTTGACTGCCAGTACTTAATTCATGTAAATTACAGTTGCACTTTGTTGTATTCTTTCCATTTTTCTTCATCTTTTTGCAGTAAGGAACTCTGTGTGTGTATGTGTGTGTGTGTGTATATATA